AACTAAACCCGGCCAGGGGGAGGCTAGACCCGAGCAAGGAAAAACTAGACCCGACCATAGAAAACTAAACCCGACCAAAACGAGAAACTAGAACCGACCAAGGGAAAACTGAACCGACCAAGGAAAAATTAGACCCGACCAAAGAAAAAACTAGGACCCGACCAAAGGAAAAACTAAACCCGACCAAAGGAGAACTAGACCCGACCAGGAAGAAACTAAACCCGACCAGGGAAAAACTAAACCCGACGAGGGGAAAACTAGACGCGACCAGAAAAGACACACACACAAAAAAACAACAACAACAACAACAAAACAAACAAAAAAAAAAAAAAAAAAAAAAAAAAAAAAAAAAAAAAAAAAAAAAAAAAAAAAAACGACCAAAGGAAAACAGGACCCGACCAGGGAAAAACTACACCCGACCATAGAAAAACTAAACCCGACCAGAAAAAAAAAAACTAAACCCGACCAAAGGAAGAACTAGACCCGACCAAGGGAAAACTGGACCCGACCAAAGAACAACTAGACCCGACCAGAGAAGAACTAAACCCGACCAAAGGGAAAACAAACCCGACCAGGGAAAAACTAGACGCCACCAAAGAAAAACTAGACCCGACCAGAAAACTACTGTACGCGACCAAAGGAACAAAACTAAGCCCGACCACAAGGAAAACTAGACCCGACCAAAGAAAAACTAGACCCGAGCAAAGAAACACTAGACCCGACCAAAGGAACAACTAAACCCGACCAAGGGAAAATTACACCCGACCAAGGAAAAACTAAACCAAAGCAAAACTAAACCCGACCAAAGGAAAAACTAGACCCGGCCAGGGGAAAACCAGACCCGACCAAGGAAAAATTAGACCCGACCAGAGGAAAACTAGACCCGACCAAAAGAAAAACCAAACGTGCGTTTGGGGGAAGCGGCACCTATACCAAACCAATAGGCCTCCTATGGGAATCTTGTAAGGGCCTACACCGAACCTATAAGCCTCCTACGGGAATCCTGCAAGGCCCGATACCAAACCTATAGACATCCTATGGGAACGAGTAAGGCCCTATACAAAACCTATAAGCATCCTATTGGAATCCTGTAAAGCCCTGTGCTAAACCTAAAAGACTCCTATGGGAATCCTCTATAGGCCTATGCCAAACCTATAAGCCTCCTATGGGAATCCTGCAAGGCCCTATACCAAACCTATAAGCCTCTTATGGAAATCCTGTAAAGCCCTATACAAAACCTATAAGCCTCCTATGGGAATCCGGCAAGGCCCTATACCGAACCTATAGGCCTCCTATGGGAATCCTGTAAGGCCCTATATCACACCTAAAAGCCTCCTGGGAATCCTCTCAGGCCTTATACTACACCTATAAGCCTCCTATGGGAATCCTGTAGGGGCCTATGCCAAACCTTTAAGCTTCCTATCGGAATCCTGCAAGGCCCTATACCAAACCTATAGGCCTCCCATGGGAATCCTGCAAGGTCCTATACCAAACCTATAGGCCTATATACCAGGCTGAAATTCTGAAGACGTTGAGGTGGAATCAATATAAGACTAAGACTAGGGGACAATCACGTAGGGGCATAGAAAACTAAACAGGGCCAAACCGAACTTAATCAGGATCACGCGACACATTAAACAAGACAATGAGAAAACATAACGGGACCAGAGGAAAACTAGACATGACCATGAGAAAACTCGACAAGACCAGGGCTACCCAGGCTCAAGGATCCAAGGCCGTCGGTGCTCAAAAAAGCGAAGATGTAAGACGCTGCGGGCTCCTTTTTTTCACCGTGGCAACTCTGCGGCGACAGGTTCGAACGTCGAGCATGCACTGAGCATGCGCCTAGCCAAGGATAGCGACGGAGCCACAGAATGTGAACGACATCAGCTTACACGCAAAACTTTTTTCTTACAAAAAAACTCCCCTAATCGACTTGATAAGTGATGAAGCCGACCTCCCGCAGCTTCATAACGATTTGGCGCGCCAGAGGCAGCGGCGCGCCAGAGGCAGCGGCGCTACGCTCGCACAACTTTACCCGATAAAGTTGCCATCGCCGTCGTAGATCAACGGCGAGCTCTGATAATCAAGCAAATCGGGGCCGGGAACCATCGGGATCACGGGGGCGCGCGACGAGCCAGCGCCAGCGGCAGCCGTTGCAGTGGGGGAATCGACCATGCTTGGCTCCAAATTAGGCAGCACGGCATCGCGAATTGGGCTGCCAATTCTCGGAGGGACGCCACCACCGCGATCGATCTGGTCCGCCAGGGACGAAGCCGACATCGGCGTTGGCGCCCCCAGCGGGTCGCGAATCGGCGGCGGCACCACCGCGCTCGCCATCTGTGGGGGGAGCGCCGCTGAAACCGACGAAGCCGCCGCGCAACTTGATCTTGGCAGGAATCTGTAGAATCAGCTCCTCGTCGCGGCTGTGCCCAGGGGGTAGCCCCCGCAAGTTGATTGTGATAACTGGTCCTTTGACCAAAACCTGCCCGTCTGCGAGTTCGCGAATCTGAGCCATTCTGCGAAGGGCTTGAAACGCAAAATGAACACGCTTGAGCCACTAGCACTACAGAAAAACTGACATTTCGACCCGACGCGAGAAAACCTTCGCATAACCAACCATAATCAATCTACACGAAACAATAGGAAAACTAAGCCAGATGACGAAAAAAACTACATGAGACCAAGAGAAAACTAAATCCGACATGGGAAAAAACTAAACCCGACCAAGGAAAAACAAACCCGACCAGGGGAAAACTAAACTCGACCAAAGAAAAATTAGACCCGACAAAAAAAAAACTAGACCAAGACCAAAGGAAAAACTAAACCCGACCAGAAAAACCTAAACCCGACTGGGGGAAAAAATAAACCCGACAAAGAAAAACTAGACCCGACCAGAGAAAAACAAGACCCGACCAGGGGAAAACTAGACCAGACCAAAGAAAACTAAACCCGACCAAAGAACAAACTAAACCCGACCAACGGAAAAACAAGACCCGACCAGAGGAAAACTAGACCCGACCAAAAGGAAAACGAAACCCGACCAAGGAAAAACTAAACCCGACCACAAGGAAAAACTAAACCCCACCAAAAGAAAAACTAAACCCGACCAAAGGAAAACTAGACACGACAAAGAAAAACTAGACCCGGCGAGGGGAAAACTAAACCCGAACAAGGAAAAACTAAACCCGACCCAGGGAAAACTAAACCCGACCAAGGAAAAACTATACCCGACCAGAGAAGAACTAAACCCGACCAAAGAAAAAACTGGACCCGACTAAGGGAAAACTAAACCCGACCAAGGAAAAACTAAACCCGACCAAAGGAAAAACTAAACCCGACCAAGGGAAAAACTAAACCCGACCAAAGGAAAAAAGCTAGACCCGACCAAGGGAAAACTAAATCCGACCAGGGAAAAACTAGACCCGACCATAGGAAAACTAGACCCGACCAAAGGAACAACTGAACCCGACCAAGGGAAAACTAGACCCGCCCAGGAAAAAACTAGACCCGGTCAAAAGGAAAAACTAAACCCTACCAAAAGAAAAACTAAACCCGACCAAAGGAAAACTAAACGCGACAAGGGAAAAACTAGACCCGACAAGAGAAAAACTAAACCCGACCAAAGGGAGAACTAGACACGACCCAGCGAAAACTAAACCCGACCAGAGAAGAACTAAACCCCACCAGGGGAAACTAAACCCGGCAAGGGAAAAACTAAACCCGAACAAGGAAAAACTAAACCCGACCAAGGAAAAACTTAACCCTACCAAGAGAAACTGCACCCGACCAGGGAAAAACGAGACCCGACCAGAGAAAAACTAAACCCGACCAAAGGAAACACTAAACCCGACCAAGGGAAAACTAGACCCGACCAAGCAAAAACTCCACCTGACCAGAAAAAACTAGAGCCGACCAACGGAAAACAAGCTAGACCCGACCAAAGGAAAACTAGACCCGACCAAAAGAAAAAACTAAACCCTACCAAAGAAAAACTAAACCCGACCAGGGAACAACTAGACCCGACCACAAGGAAAAACTAAACCCGACCGGAGGAAAACTAGACCTGACCAAGGGGAAACTAAACCCGACCAGGGAAAAACTAGACCCGACCAAAGAAAAATTAAACCAGACCAAAGGAACAACTAGACCCGACCAGGGGAAAACTAGACCCGGCCAAGGAAAAACTAAACGCGACCATAGAAAAACTAGACACGACCAACGAAAAAACTAAACCCGACCAACGGAAAACAAGACCCGACCAAAGGAAAACTAGACCCGACCAGGGAAAAACTAAACCCGACCAAAAGAAAAACTCGACCCGACCAAAGAAGAACTAGGACCCGACCCAGGGAAAAACTAGACCCGACCAGGGAAAAACTAAACCCTACCAAAAGGAAAAACTTAACCCGACCAGGGAAAAACTAGACCCGACCAAAGGAAAAACTACACCCGACCAGGGGAAAAAAAACTGGACCCGACCAAGGGAAATTAGACCCGACCACGGAAAAAGTTAGACCCGACCAGAGAAAAACTAGACCCGACCAAAGGAAACAAACTGGACCCGACCAATGGAAAACTAGACCCGACCATGAGAAAACTAAGCACGACCATCGGAAAACTGAGCTGGAAACGTGGAATACTGTAGACCATACCATAAGAACATGACGGAACAAAACCACAAATAGCATGATTGCGCCGATGGCGACGACGACGGCGACATCGCGACCGCCGCGACCTGCGGCGATGGCAGCAGCGGGTGCGACATCTGTTTTCCGAGCCGAGCGCTGCCGCATAATTCGCGCCTCAGAAGAACCGACGCCGCCGACAGCCGTGGGGCCTACATCACTGTCGCGCGCCGCCGCAGAACTCGCCCCTCAGAACCGACGCCACTGGGCCCCTCTCGGAAACGAATGCTCGAGCGACCTCTCACGCGGCAACGGGCGCGCCAGAGGCAGCGTCGTGGCACGCCAGAGGCAGTGCGTCAAATGCCCACCTCATCATGGCTCCGCTGAAATCTTGCCGGCTTTCTCGACGAACTCGGCGTCGCCGCCCAATTGCTCCGCGTACCCCTCGTCGTGGCCCGCCTTATACATCGCGCACCTGTCCACGATGGAGTCGAGCCAGTCCCGGTGCGCATCGTTGGCAGCGATGCCTTCGTACTCCATTGCGCCAAAGGCAGCAACAGCCGAAGCGCCGGAACCTGGAGTGAAGTCCACGACGTGGGTCACTTTGTGGTGCTCCACGAGAGTCTGCCACAAGAGGAGCGGCTTCACCTCGCTGTGCGAGAACGGGCGGCCCTTCGAGTCGATGTCTCCCTGCAGGCGCGGATGCCCCCCGTCAACGCTAGCGCAAGATGCAACTCCCAAGATGCTCGCCTTCGTCTCGTGGTCCATGCGAGGGAGCTCGGGGAGGCGCCGCATTGGGATACCGCTGTATGACGCGTCTGCGGTCGAGGACTCGCCGCACGCGCTGGACTCCGCACGGTGCACCACTTTCCGCGGGCCCTTGAGTGGCATCGAGAAAATGGCCGTCTCCCTGTTGTTCTTCGTGTAGCTCGACGCCCTGGCCGCGGACCGTGGGTGCCCCTTCTTCGTCGGTTGCCCGTGCGCGTTTTACACGAACCAGCACTCGACGTACGCGTGGGAGCCTCCTGACTCCAACTTCGTCTCGAACGACTCAATGACCCTGCGGTTCGCGCGGCTCCTGCCGTCGAGGAAGATGAGGATATCATCATTCTGCCTCTTCTGCAAGAAGAACTCGATGACGCGCTAGAACTTCGCCTCGTCACACGCCATCTGCTCGCTCATCCTCGCCTTGCCGCCTTGCTTGACGACGTTGGGCGGGAACAGCTCCGCCGAGAGGATGAACGCGCGAACGTCGTTCTTCTTCCTCCCGAAGCGGTGCCCGAGGCTGAGCGCGCCCCGCAAGCTCTGCATCTGCGCCACTGCGTACTCCGCGCCAGAGGCAGCGCCGACAGACGGCAAACTGACGAACTTCACAGTTTTCCTGCGGAGCTGCCTGAGCTGCCCCTGGAGCTTCTGGAGCTCTTCCTTTTGCTCGTCCCCGAGCTCGGACATCCCAACAAGCCGAGATTTGCATCCAGCTCGGGGTCGGCGGGGGTCGGCCCGCCCGTGCACGCGGCCACGAAGGCGCAGCGCTTGGCACCAACGCCCTGGCTGGTCTCGGTGAGGTACGTGTGCCGGACGAACCCAGTGGTGCTGTTCTGCAACTCCTGCTGGGCAAGCTCGGCAATTTCGTCGTCGAAAGCGCTCGACCACAGAGGCCGCGCGACGTCGATCATCGCCTTCGTCTTGACATCCACGGTGTTCCGATGCTCAGCCACGCGGGGCGCAAACAATGTCTCCACCCCGTCGGCGCCGCCGCCAGTCGGACGCGCGGCGCGAAGCCACGGGCCCATCCGCGCCAGGGGCGGCGAACTTCTGAAGGATGTGGAGAGGCGTCTTGAACGCCGCCATGTCGCCCCCCGCTTCCTTGTTCATGAGAGACGCCTCGTGGAAGATGTACTCGACGAGTTCCTTCATCTTGAAGAGCGCGTGGAGCATCGCTGGCGTCTTCCCATCGCGCCCGATGGCCCGGCCCACGGACAGTTTCTCGCCCTTTCGGGGCGTCGCCCGTCAAGCGGGCCACGCGGAAACTGTTCATGCTGAAAACGAACAATTCCCTGGCCTTGGCGTCAGAGACAGCCCTCGTGGAGCAGGCGAAGCCGATCCTCATGAGAAGCGTAGGTTCGCGAAGCTCTGGGAAATGCACTTCGGCCAGCGCGAGAGCCGAATTGCAGGCGCCGTCGAGGACGAAAGGGCGCAGACTTTTCAGCGCCGCGGCGGTTGCAGCGGTGCGCGCTTTTCCTTTGAACTGGAGGCCGTGGGCCTTCAGCGCAGCCTCCAGCTTCGACGCTGGTTCCTGTTTGGCGAAACAGTTCTCCACGCCGGTCAAGCGGCACGCTGTTTCTGCGAACCGCCAGGAGGACTCAGCGCCAGAGGCAGCACACGCAGAGAACATCTTCTCTGAAAATGTCAGAGCGGCCAAGTGGGTCGCGTCGCCATCAGGCAGCAGGCGCATCCTGATGGGCACGGACAACGCGGCATTGAACAGATGCCACGCGCGGTCTTCGCTGGACTGCTGGAGTGCCTCCTCGCTCATAGCAGCACGCCGCGTGGTGACCACCGCGCGCCCCGCGAGCATGGTCAGAGCCTCTGTCGAGCAAACTCCAGGCATGTTAGGCCCAAGCCGCTGGGCGACCTCGACGTCGACCACCAAGGCGGGGAGAGGCACGTCGAAGGAGAGGCGCCGCGAGGGCGCGTGCTTGGAGGAGAGGGGGTACGCCTCCTCCGACCACGCGCTCATGGCACCCTCGAGCTGGCCCACGGTGATGTCGTCGATGTCCGAGCAAATCGGGTCCAACATCCACACCGCCCCCGCTGCCTCGCACTCCTTGGTGCGGGAGAAGCTCGCAACCAGGTTGCCATAGTCCATGACCTCGCGAAACGAACTGAGGCTTGCGCCAGAGGCAGCATCAGTGATGGGCAACGGCGGAAACAAAGAACACTTGGCGGGCACCGCGAAGGACACCTCGCGCTTGCGCTGCACCAGGAAGCGGAGCAAACTATGGTCGACGTAGCGCTTCACTTGGCGCACCCACTCCTTGACGTGACCCTGCTGCATCGACGCATTTTCCGTCTCGGGAGCTGCGCGACGCACGGCGGGGCAACGGCCGGCGGCGCGCCAGAGGCAGCGGCGGGCGGCGCGCCAGAGGCAGCGCCGCGTCACCTGCCCTCTTGCCCATGGCGGCTGCTGGTGGTTGGGGGGGGGACGCGACAAGCAAAAGCGAGCTACTCGCGTCCGAGAGCCGAAACCGCTGTGGATGATGATGAAGATGATGATGATGGTGATGATGGTGATAATGATGGTGATGACGATGATCGCGATGGTGATCATGATGGTGGTGATGACGATGATGATAACTGCTGGTTGCATGATGGCGGTGATGATGAAGGCGGTGATACTAGCGACTGTGAGGGTGATGATGTTAGCGACGCTGCAGATCCTTAATGTGATGCCCCCCCGTGGTGGCCCAGCCAGATGCAACGGGCGCTGCTACACGCACCAGCAGGAAATAAATCATTGCAGGCTCTTGGCGCTGGCTCGAGGTCGATATCATTCTTCATCAGAAACATATAGCAGGGTGGTCGCCACTGCTTCAGAGAAAACTGCGCACACTGGACGAAGCAGCTTGGCCGGCGGGTGCCTGGCGCGGCAAATCCACACTTGCAATGCGGACTTGCGCAGTCGGCCACGAGGCGCGGCGGCCCCGGGGTAAAACAACAGAGCAACAGAGCAGATCGGCGGCAGAGAGCGGCGCCACGCTTCACGTCATCTTACTGGCGGCTTTCGCGGGCGAGAGCCTGTCGGTCCCCATCATCTGACACCGCCTGTTCTGCAGGTCCCAGCGCTGGCTGTTGTTCATCCTCGCGAACTCTGGCGCATGGGTCACGTGGCTCCGGCAAAGCCACGATGCGCGCTTCTTGCGCGTCCTGCCTGTTACGCAAACGGCGCACGGGTTGTGCCTGACTCGAACGTCGCGCTGCTTGATGACGCACTCGTTCATCTCCAAGGGCGCAACCGCGGGTGTCGATCCGCTCCACGAAACAACACTCGCTGATGATGAACTGGAAATCTTCATGGGCGTTGATGGTGCGCTCGGTCCCTGCGGCGATGCGGACGCAGCTAGTGCCGGCGCCGCTTAGCCGCTAGCTGGGGATGATGACTGGTTCTGCACGGCGACGGACGCTGGCGGCGACGCCATCGGCACATCTCCATCGGCGCCCTCGGGGATCGCGGCTGGCCTCTCGCGGCGACGCCGGCCGATGCGACGCCCGCGCCATCCTGGATGGTGTCCACTTGCGGCTTCCGATGCCTTCGCCTCGCTCCCCATGTCATCGCGTGCCGAGGTGTTCTGGCGCATCGCAAACCACATCATCACAAAAATACTGACTCCAGCAACGATACCAATCATCAGAGCAATCGTCATGAGATCGCACGTGCACTAATAATAGCTGGCTGGCGCCAGGCGTCGCAGGCGCAGGCGCGGGCTGCCCCTCGGCGCGGCCAAGGCAGGTCGCGAGCGCCGAGGCGAGCATGGCGGCGCGTGGCCGCCGCGCTCCGAAGCTGCGCTCCTTGGCGCCAAAACGCGAGTAGCACTCCTGCCTCCATGATCTCGGTGAGCGCATCGGCGACCATACTCAACGTAGGAACCCGCGCGAGCTTCAGACGGCTGCCAGGGCGCGCGAACTCCTCGATCATCGCCGCGACGATCCAGAACCACATGTCGGTGGACTGGCCCACGTCAGACCTGATGTGCGTGGCCAGGCCGCTGCTGTCTGCGTAGATCTCCCCAGGGCGTGGCTGGCTGAGGTCGTCGATCTTCTAGAGCGGCTTCTTCGGGTTGTAGGCCTCCGTGATCACCTGGCGGAACCACGCGTCCGTCTCGGCTCCTTCGAGAGCGGCGTAGACCTCGGCAGCCAGCGTCGACTTCACGGAGCGCTTGACCGTGCCCGAGTGCCAGGCTACGGGCAGGCACGGGTCGGATCGTCCTGCCACGACGTCGCGCGGCCTGCGGGCCAGGCCCATCGCAATTCCCCGCTGGCTCTTGACCCCGCCCACGTTGACGAAGGAGGCGCGGCTGAAGCAGATTGTCGCGCAGGTGCGCAAGTCGAAGATATCGCGCTCGATCACGATGGCGGTGTCGGCGGACCCGCGCACGTAGGTGACAGTCTCGCTCAGCGTCTTGGCGCCGGCCACCGTGGCGAAGTTCGCGCGGCGAGCTGCCATGCTCACCGGACAGGCGATGATCACTCGGGCCTAGACTGCAAGCCACAGCAGCTGATCGAATGTGCGGCGGTAACCAGAGACTTCCGAGGTAGTAAGTCGATCTTCTGGCGAAGGTTCGCGATGGGTCTTCAGGTCGACGAAGTCAACCCGCGCGGCGGCCGTCGCTCGGGCGACGCGGCACTCCTCGTTGGACTTGGCGACGGCCCGGCCGCAGTACTTTGTGATACCCTCGACCCTCATGGGGCACTGCTTCTTCTCCAGTAGGGCCATGACCTGCTTCCACGCGCTGCGATCGCCGCGCGGGGCTGTGAGAAAGTCGCCCACGCACGCGTAGATCATGGCAGCGAGGCCCTTCTCGCCGCAAAGTAGTAATGGCCCTTCTCGAGCTTGCTCTCGACAAGGCCGTGCTCCTAAAACACCTTCTGAGCGCAGAGGTACCACTGTCGGCCGGCGTCTCTGGAGCCGTAGATGGCGCCGGTCGCCGTCGCGATTTCGCCAGGCAGAGCCCGTGGCGGGGGGTTCTTTGCCGGCATGCGCAGCAGCAGCAGCAACAGCAGCCTCTCGATGCTGCCAGACTGGGGGCAGGGCGTCATCGCGTCGTAAGACGTGAGATCCCAGCCTGCCTGGGCGGCGGCGGCCAGCGTGAGATAGAGCGCGCCCACTGGCCCGGTAGCCGCGTCGGTGCGGATCTGGGACTTGTCCTCCTGGCATCCCCGGACGATAAGGCGGACCTTCTGAAGGTTCAGGGCCTTGCGGGCCAACGCCCTGCGGGTGCCCACAGGTCGAATACCAGGGTGGCGCTTGAGGATATCCTTCAGCTCCTTAGGCGGCAACTACACTGTCCACTTGGACCACTCGACCTTCGTGGCTTCCATGAGATTTTTCTCCTTGATGGAAAAGTTGTCGTCCTTGATGGAAAAATTGGCGAGCATGACCTCCCGGAGCCTAATGGATGAGTGCAGCGCGTCGGCGTTGCACCTGAGGTAGTTGTCCAAGTAGAGGTCGGATTTGAGGGTGCCC